TGTCCCCTCCATGACCATCATGTCCCCCTATGTCCCCCCTGAGGGTCCCCATTTTCCCCCCATGGCCATTGTGTCCCCTCATGTCCCCCCGAGTGTCACCATGGCCCTGTGTCCCCTCCATGACCATCATGTCCCCCTATGTCCCCCCTGAGGGTCCCCATTTTCCCCCCATGGCCATTGTGTCCCCTCATGTCCCCCCGAGTGTCACCATGTCCCTGTGTCCCCTCCATGACCATCATGTCCCCGTATGTCCCCCCTGAGGGTCCCCATTTTCCCCCCATGGCCATTATGTCCCCTCATGTCCCCCCGAGTGTCACCATGGCCCTGTGTCCCCCCATGGCCACCACATCTGTCCCTGTCCCCGGTCTGTCCTCATGTCCCCTGTTCCTCCTTTAGACTGACCCCATCCTTCCCCCTCCAGTGTCCCCATCTCCCCCAATGTCACCTCATGTCCCCTACAAGGGGTCCCCCATGTGCCATGTCCCCACCAGGGACACTGTGTCCCCACAGGGTCACTGCATTCCCCATGTCCTCCCCATAGTGTCACCATGGCCCTACCCACAGTGTCACTAGGTCTCCTTGCTCCAGTGTCCCCATGTCCCCATGTGTCCCCATGTCCCCCACACAGCGGTGGGCACAGGTGCCACCGAGGTGCCAACAGCTCCATGTTGATGCTGTCCACTAAATCCTCCCCATATTGTCCCCATGTCCACCCCAGCATGTCCCCAGATGTCCCCACAGAGTCCCCATGTCCCCATGTGTCCCCAGGGCAGGCACACAGCAGATGGCACAGGGCCACCAAGGTGCTAAGACCTCCACATTGATGTTCTCCACCACATCCCCTCTGTATTGCCACCGTGTCCCTGTGTCCCCCTGGTGTCCCCCTATATCCCCCCGTGTCCCCATGTCCCCAGAGTGTCCCCAAGCACTCACACAGCAATGGGCAGCGGCTGCTGCAGGGCCACCAAGGTGCCAAGACCTCCACATTGACGTTCTCCACGACATTCCCTCCATACTGCCCCATGTCCCCC